TGAAATAAGTTTCTCGTGAGTTGATGGTTGCTGAAGCTGTGTGTTGGGCACAAGGAGGTACATGATGACATTCTTGCCATTTGTGTATACACTTGAAATTTTTGATAAGAGAAGGAAGGAAGGAACAAAGGAAAAAAGAAGGAAGTGGGGGAGGGGTCAAGGGAGGGAAGAGAGAGGAAGGAGGGAGGGAGGGAGGGAACCAGGAGCTGTGACCATGTTCTGGATTAAATCCAGTTTGGATTTGATCTGTATGTTGCTGCATGGTCTTGGGCAATTCATTGCTTTCTCCTCTGTAAAATGGGGAGGGAACCAGATCAGCTCTGAGCTTTTGCATTCCATGGTTCTGAGCAGGGCTTAGCCATCAAGGACCTATCTGCTCCTTTCTCCAGTGTTCCTAAATGCTTTGGCATTCTTCCTGGGAAGGACAAAGCAACACGCTGAAAATGGCCAAAGGTTAATGGTGATTTTAAAGCAAACAGAAATATGCATCCACTGATGTTCAAGAGGCCTTTAACCCCACACGCTTCCAGCACTCAGAGTCCTCCACTCCTGGCCACTGAAGGGAAATAAATGACCCTTTACGAATGTTTTCAAAAACCTTAAGTTTTAAGGTCGTCAACTTTCCAGGTCCCCTAAAAAGAAATGAAACATCATTGGCTGGGACACTTCTTAGCAGAGAGTGTAAGAAAGAATAAATAGCAGGTTAAAACTCTAGCTACACAAATTTACAATGTAAACAAATTTAGATGGGAACTAGCCAATTTACAGAAACAGTGAAAATGACCTGTGTATGAGGGACAGAAAGGTTCCCAACAATTATTCCCCTCACCTTCAGTCTGAGAACACAAGCTCTGCGAGGGGCTGCTGGCCTCCGGCTCATACAGCTAGGGAGCTGCACCCTTCATCCAAGCTCCCTGGGCCCAGGTCATCCTTTTATTTGGGGAGGGGGTGTTTACCAGGGATTGAACTCAGGGGCACTCAACCACTGAGCCACATCCCCAGCCCTGTTTTGTATTTTATTTAGAGACAGGGTCTCACTGAGTTGCTTAGCACCTCACTTATGCAGAAGCTGGCCTTGAACTCATGATCCTCCTGCCTCAGCCTCCACAGCCACTGGGATTACAGGCATGCACCATCACTCCAGACCCATGTGGTCCTTAAGCCAGACTTCACAAATTTGTCTAAGAACTTGAGAAACACTTTTTTGCTAACATGAGGCAAACACTTAAATTGAACCATATTGAAACTGCTGTTAGTCTGGATCAAGAATGATAGATATTGGCAAAACACTCATTTCTGAATGTTAGTAAAAGCTTCTCCAGTAATGGAAATCACCCCCTATAAAATAGAACAGGGGTCTCACAGTGTAGAGGCCTCAAGACCCTCGAGACAGGGAGAAGAGCAAGTACCCCCTCCCAAAATTAACACACAGGGAAGAACTCAGGCATGCACAGAAGCAACTGAGGATCTGTGTTAGTCACCTTCTTGTTGCTGTGACAAATATCTAAGGAAAACAGGTTGGAGGAGGAAAGTTTTGGTTTGGCGCATAGTTTCCAATATTTTGTCCAAGGCAGAAACATGGCAGAAGGTGTAGTGGAGGAAAGCAACTCAGTTCATGGCAGCCAGGAAGTGGAGGAGGTGGGGGGGCAGTGAGGGGGGCAGGGAGTGGATAAACCTTGGGGTGCACCCCCCACCCACTTCCTCTCTCTCAGTTCCACCTCAGGTGGTCCATCCAGCCATCACTGGTAAGGTCAGAGCCCACAGGATCCAATCACTTCCCCCAAAGCCCCACCTCTGAACACAACAGACCTGAGGGACATTCCAGATCCTAACCATACAGAGGCCAAATATTACCGGTTAAAAAAAAAAAATAGGAAGAGCAAACAAAATCACAAAGAGTATCGATCCATACATCTACATCTCCACAGGTAAAAGAGGGAATCAGCATTTATAAAGGATCCTTTCACTAAAAGCAGGATGATCAGCAAAGGGGGAGAAAAGAGATGCCACAGAGGCAAAGATCAGCAGTGCATCTGGCTGGGCCGTGGAGTCTGCCAGGCAACAGAGGCCACCTGCCCAGGATCAGTGGAGCCTTCCTCCCCAGTGATGAGGTGAACTCACCAGGCCCAGCACTGGGTCACTTTCTCCAGGAAGCCTTCCTGGGCCTCATACACACACACACACCATTGACTTGTCTGTTTCCTGTTAGCCTGAAGCTGCCTGAAGGCAAGAATGATCTCATGGTATTCCCAATGCCCACCTGAACTTACCTTAGAGTGAGCCTTCGGAAAATACAGACAAAAAACAAGAGGAAGCTAAAATGATCGCCCCTGTGAAGGACAGGGAGGGAGAAGATCTACACTTTGGATTGGGTCCTTGATTCCATGACCTTCCGAACCCTACAGAACAGCAGCTGACAATGGTAAAACAAGTCTCAGGAACCGGAAGGACAGATAGAATTTGCAGGATAGGAACAAAGAATTTAAAGAACTGTAAGATAAATCTCCCTGATGTTGTCCTACTCAAATGTACCCAATGCCCAGGACCCTGCAATGCAGAAACAGGCAGTGCCCAAGGTTGCTCCAGGGTGCCTGGCTTCCTCCCCGCCCACTTGAGCCCCAGGCCCTCACCAGCATCCCTGCAGAGAAGGCAATGAGTCACTGACTTGGCTCTTCCCAAAAGAAGGGACCCACCCTGTCTCCAGGTGGGAGTAAACAAGAGGAGGGCTGCTTGGATTGTGGAAAAGCCAAGAGAGGCCCAGATAAACAGGAGTACTCCCGATTTGTTTCCAGAGCCTCGTGGTTCTGCATGGATTTCATCTAAAGAGCACAGGAGGGACTGGGTCAAGAAGGCGCTGGGAGGGAGACAGAAGCTGGCCAAGCCCAGAGGGAAGCCACATCCACCTGGCAAGCTGCTCTGGAAATTAACATCACACAGGCAGAAACACACCTGCTGTACAGGGCCAACTGCAGCAGCTCCAATCAGGGCCCAGCAGCTGAGACACCTGAATTCTTACAGGACCACCACAGGTTTCCCACTCAGAGTTCTCAATGAAGGGCCTTCACTCAGTCTGCTCAGCATTCTAGAAAACTCTGCTACTATCACATGTATACAGCTATTCAGATTTTTCACTTGTATGAATTTTGAGTATTTGTTTTTCATCTATTTTGTCATTGAGCTAAGTGTTTTTTTTATATAACATATAAAAAATATATATCCTTACAGGAAGATACACAGTACTTCGTTATTGTAATCCCTTAGGACCTGGTGAGATGTCTTTTGTATTTGGTATTGCTTATTGTGCTTTTCTCTCTCTCACTTGGTCTTGCTCTCATCAAGTTTATTGAACTTTTTGAAGAATAAAAAAAAAAAAAAAAAAACCTCTGTCTCTATAAATAAAGTGTCTGATCTCTAGATCAGGAAAGGAAAGGTAGACAAGCCAGCATTTCTATTCTTTTGATTCACATATTGGAAAAATCAAGCCATGACAGTGCTTGCAGGTCCAGGTCTTTACAGAGGAGACCTGTTCCTTTAATCTGCCATTTGCTTGACCCTGCTCCCTAACACACAGGGCAAGAGCAGTTCCAAGCCTGGGCTCTGGGCTCTGACTGGTTTCAGGACCCCACTGCAACACTCACTGTGTGAATTTCCACAAGCTGCTTTCTTTCCTTGTCAACCTCCGTTTCTTCATCATGAAATGAAGACAGTAATAAACACTTGCTGCTAGGGATGCTGTAAGGAATAAATGAGATTATAAGGGTACATAAAGCACTTGCTTAAATAGTCTATTATTATGATTAGTATATTGCTGCTGCTGTTACTGCTACTACTGCTGTTACCAAGCAAGCGGTATTAGTTGCTACACAACTCATCAGGTAATCCTTAAAATAACAGGATCCCACATTTTACTGCTAGGCCTCAAAACTACATCTGTGTCACTATCAAGAAGGCATTTGGGGTGATAAGAGGGATTTTTTTAAAAATATTTTTTAGTTGTTGATGTATCTGTATTTTTTATTTATTTATCTGTGGTGCTGAGGATGGAACCCAGTGCCTCATACATGCTAGGCAAGTGCTCTGCCACTGAGCCTCAACCCCCATCCCAGATTTTTTTTTTTAATGGGCAGGGAATGACATACACACAGTGTGTAAATAACCTGCAGATTTGAAGTGACCATGAACCCTGTTTCGTTATATCCATCTCAGGAGTTACAGACACACAAGAGGAGGGATGAGTTGAAGAGGTACTAGGAACCTGCAAACAACACCCCTTTCTCAGAGATGTGCATCTGCAAACATAAAAGTTGGATAATGAGTCCATATGGCTCCTCCATTTGCAAGAGCTCAGGGAAAGAACGGTGTCGCCGTTCATCTCCAGAATCAGGACTTGAGCTAAATTCTCTCCATGCAGGATAGCATTGCTCTGTCCCTTCTCTGACAATTATCACATGTTTCTTCTTTCACAGTGAGGGACTCCTAGGTAGAAGCAGTGATTGCCTTCTCTGCCACTATTTGTAAACGTTGGCCAGCCATTGGGATAGCTAGATCCTTTCAGTGATTTAGGTTTTGTTCTTGTGGCCATAATGAATCACATCTGCGTCTTTGTGCAACACTTCCCCTTCCTTCCACTCCCTGAATGTGTCTCTGCCTGTGAGTGTGTAGGTTTACTCTTCTCTACATAATTTTCAGGTAATGAGGGTTCATCCTAGCAGTAGACATTATTGTAAAATTCAAAATATATACTGGAAATGTACCTGTAGGGTTACATAATTCATTCCTATGTCCTGAATACCTGCATGTTTACTTGGCCTACAGTATGGCTTAATCTTGAACCTGTTCTTCTACCTGCCAAGAGTCAACTGAACTAGCATATCACTGGTGGGTGTCCAAAATTCAAATACATAAAGAAAGCACTCTTGATATTTGAAAAAAAAACTTTTCTAATTTTAGACATACTGAAATGTACTTACTCGACATAAAAACATGCAAACAAGACATTCTCCATACTGAATTAGGAAGTTTATTAGGCTCCTAATCTCCATGTCTAGGACATAAACATGGATTTACATGCATTGTCTCATTTTGTGGATCTTACATGCATGTAGTCTTCATCAGCTGGACCTCGGAGTCTACTTGTCAGTAATTTACAGTTAGCTCAATGTGAGTAAATGGCAAATACAGGATGATGCATAAGCCGGAACAAAACTCCCACCCAATATCATTTACTTTGTTTTTGTTTTTTTTTTTCCAAAACCATATCACAACTCTCTCTTGTAAAAAATAAATTTCAGAACGAGACATTTCATTGACCTCACTGAGAAAAATAAAGATAATTCTATCATTTCAGAATTCAGCAATGAATGTCCAACTATGGCTAAAAGGTACGCCCTGAGAATTAAATGAATTTAACAAACCCATTAAGGTTTATAAAGCTGTGTTAACCTAATGTCAGGAAGGGGCACAAGATACAGGCACAAATGTCCCTGCTCATTTTGCTGTGCAATTCTCCAAGGATGCGGTGTTATAAACATCCTCATTGTCTTCGATGCTCGAAGCGTCTGTGGAATCGGGATCGCTCACCACAATGCCCACGGAAGAGAGACTGGTAATGAAGGCATGCACCCGCTGTGCATAAATGTCCCTAATGTTAAAGTAAGGTAGCTCATGACACTTCTCTGGTGGGTCCTCACTGCACTGGTCCACATCAATGTCCTTTTGCTTCTGGTAGTACTTGGAAAACTTGTTGAAGATGATGGTGATAGGAAGGGCCACCACCAATATGCCGCAGATGATGCACGTGCTGGCGATAATCTTCCCGGCCAAGGTGACAGGATGGGTGTCTCCATAGCCCACGGTGGTCATGCTGATGGTGGCCCACCACCAGCAGACGGGGATGCTGGTGAGGCTGGATGTGTGGTCATCTTTCTCCACAGAGTAGATAAGCACGGAGAAGATGGAGATGCCGACAGACAGGAAGAGAAGCAGCAGCCCAACTTCATGGTAGCTGTGTCTCAGCGTGGCCCCCAGAGACCGAAGTCCTACGGAGTGCCGGGCCAGCTTCAGAATTCGGAAAATCCTCATAAGGCGAAGGATCTGGACCACCTTGCCCATGTTCTCAATGTCCTCGCTCTCTTCTTCCTTGGTGTCTACCGCCAATGTGGCATAGAAAGGAATAATGGAGACAAAGTCAATTATGTTCAGAGGATTCTTCCAGAATTTCTTTTGACAGGGAGCAGCAACCAGCCGGATGGCAAGCTCCCCAGTGAACCAAGCAATACAGGCGATCTCCACACCCTCCAGCACAGGGTCGTCCACCTCCCCGTCCTCATTCTGGAACTCCGACATGCTGTGGACACACATGGCCACTATGGAGGCCAGCACCACGCTCAAGGAGGAGATGGCAATCAGCTTGGCAGACAGGCAGTACCCAGGGTTTTCCATTCGAATCCAGATTTTCTTCCGGAGCTGACCGAACCGCAGCTGGTCAAACTTCTCCAGCTCTTTCTCAAACAGAGAGGACTCTTCAAATGAGGAGTCGGTGCTCACGTCGTCGTTGCTTTTCTGGTCCCAGTCCTTCTCGTGGTTTTCCTCCTTGCGTTCCTGGTAGCGACCACTGCAACAGGAGTCAATGAAGAGCTCGTTGATGCCCCAGTACTCGATCTCCTGGCAGAAGGAGAACACACACAGCTCCTCCATGACGTGCAGCTTCCCCGTGTAGTAAAAATTCAAGACATATCTGAACAAGGAGGGGTTCCGATCAAAATAGTACTCTTTATCGGCCACGCTGTAATCATCACACAGTTCCAGGATGGCCTCCTCGGAGTGGCAGGTGAGCAGCTTCCCCAGTCTGGTGTGAGGGAACCTCAGGAGCGTGCTCTGGTCAACAGACTGCTTAAAGCCCCCCACGTTCAAGTTGACAAGTTCCTCGTCTTGTCCAGAGCGATGGAAAAACTCACCAAACACCATTATGGATCCAGGAAGTTGAGAGCTGGCTGGGAAGGGGGACCAGGACGATCACGAGGCACCTGGAAGGAGCACAGGATGGCATTAGCAAGGAGTCCCCCTGTGCTTGCCAGGCTTATTTTTAATCTGCCCTTTCCAGGGTGACGGGCTACACCAAAAACACAGCAGGAAATGCAGCAAAGAGGAACACAGGATTACGCATTCTGATGAAAAGAAAACCAAGACCAAAAAAAAAAAAAAACCCTGGAATTTATAAATCTGCTTTTTAGGAAAGACTGCAACAAAAAAATTTTATTAGTGCATTACAGTTATACATAATATGGAGTTTCAGTGAATTATAGTTATACATAATATTGGGGTTTCTTTTGACATAATCACACAAGCATGAAATACACTTTGTTCCAATTCAGTCCCTAGTACTCCCCTTTCCTTCCCCTCCTCCCTCTCTCTATTCCTTTTCCTTTGCTCTTCCTTCTGTTTATTTATAGGTTTTTTTTTAATTAGTGCTTTACAGATGTACATAAAAGTGAGATTAACTTGTTATATTCAAATATTACACAGAATATTTTGGCCAATTTTATTCCTCCATTCCTCCCTTTTCCCAACCTTCCTCCTTCCCCTCAACCCTTTTCCTCTACTCCTTTGATCTCTCTTCTGTTTTTATAAGATTCCACACACACACTTTTCTTTTTCTTTTTCTTTTCTTTTTTTTTTTTTTTTTTTTTTGTCTAGCTTCAGCATATGAGAAAAAACATTCAACCCTTGACTTTGTGAGTCTGGCTTATTTCACTTGACTGATGTTCTCTCCAGTTCTATCCATTCACCAGCAAATGCCATAATTTCATTCTTCTTTATGGATGAGTAAAACTCCATTTGTGTATATGTTTATCATATTTTCTTTAAAAAATATACTCATATATTGTTGGTGGGACTGCAAATCAGCACAACCACTCTGGAAAACAGTATAGAGATTCCTCAAAAAGCTAGGAATGGAAACACCATATGCAAAATAATTTTTATGAAAACTAATTCCTATTTTTCTATTTTTTAAGCATTCAAACTTCACCTCCTCCTCTTGTCCCCACCCTCCAAAAAATGCACTTTAGATCACTTACACAGTATAAGCATCTTCATGGTCTCAACCCATCCGACACCATAGGCTAGCTGCTGCCAGGCTTACAGCTCATACCTCCTGGTCCCCAGGGCTCAGTCATGCACCCACAGTAACAGCACTCTGCTCTTCTCCACACCGTGGCCCCAGCCCACCCAGGAGGGCTCTGCTAAGCTCAGCTCTTACAAAGGATGTGGGTTTCCCTTTATGCACCAATGTCATTCCTTTAAGAGAGCCCCATTCCCTATGTTTGGGATGGACAATCAAGAGGATATAATTATCTCCCTATCTTTAAGTACCATATATCTTGCAGATACTATTACACTTCAAAGGATGGTATTTCAGGTACCTCCACATAGAAGGAAGCTGACTTAGGAAAACCTTTTTAATTTAATTGCACTATCAGTTTCCTGACACAAACACACTCTTCCCCCATCTCCCCCCCCTCACAGTCTCCCACACAGCCCTAATCTATGATTACCTCTCCACAGATAGTCTACATTGGCTGAATGCACAGCCTGTTTTCAGTTCTGACACTAACCGGGATGTACCAGATCCATTTCTCCAAGAGAAAATAATAGGTTTTGCCATCACTCAATATACTGATACTTCCTCAGAACAGAGGGTACAGATAAAAAGATAGGAGACTTTACCGTACTCAGTCCCACCAGGTACTTAGATGCCTGGCTCACATGTGTCACTTAACCCCTCCAAGACTGTAACAGAGTGTATAAAAAAATGATTATGCAGAGTCCAAGATTTGGGTCCAAGTTTGAGTCCAAGATTACACAATAGGTAAATATTAAACCCAAGATTTAAGCCCAGGTTGAATTAACTTCAAAGCCCATGTTCTCGCTACTACATAGATTCCTCTGCCCCATTTCTCCTTTATTATGATCCAATAATCCAGTATCAGAAGGGTTATACCAGAAGTGGCTCAAGCTTCCTTGGAATCATTGAGAAAAGAGCAGAGATTCCAGGCTGCAGAGACTCGATGGCTGAGATTACAAGTAGCCTGAATGTTGACAGTTCAGACAGAGTTGACCAATCAGAAGGGTAAAGGGTGTCTCAACAGAGGTTTTCAGAGTGGGCAGAAGGCAGATGATGGAGGGACTGGCACATTGGTCTGAAGAATCTGGATTTGACCCTGTTGGCAGCACCACTAAAGGGTCTTAATCAACAAGCGGGAGTGGCTACATCTGTCTGTGATTTAGAAAGACCCCACCGAGGCTCACCCTTCTGTCCTTACTACTAGACTTCCCAGCCTCCAGAACCATAAACAAAACCAACCTCGTTCTTTTAATAATAATGACAAAGACCCTACAGGCAGCAGGGTAGAGAGGCCTCAGGGAAAGGCTGGAGCCAAGGACACCAGGCTATGATAGAACAAGTGAGTGGGCCAGGACCCCAGTCCACACAGGGGCGTGGGTCTCAGGAGACACAGACAAGTTCAGGAGAAGTCTACAAAGCAGAATTGAAAAAAAAAAAAACTTGGCTTATTGATTGGAAAGAAGCGACAAGGACACAGAGGGGCTAAAAGAGGATGTGTTTTTGTAAACTGCCGAAGCGGGTGGACAGTAATACCATAAAAGGAAGCAGGAAGGTCAGAAAGGAATTTCTTTCCCCCTTGTGCTATGCAAAGCCAAGGTCGTCATAGAGGCAGATTCCTCTGAAAGGGTCACACCAAAAGTCACAGCTTTAAAATACAGCCATCCACCCCAGGAAGAAGTCTACAGTCCCAAAGGATACATCAGCGATGGCTCCCAGGATGCCAATACTATGCCCCATGAAACCAGAGACCATGGCATGGCTTAATGTACCTCTTAATAGATTTGCTGACCTCGTCAAACAACTCAAAATTTCCCCCTCTGCTTTCTATTTTTAATTAGATATCTTCTTTGAAAGGCTCAAATCAGAATTCCTGACTTGGTCCAAATATTTATGTAACTTCAGATCTCTGAAAGCCAGCTCACGCTCATGGCAAATATGGTACTAAAACGTTCCAAGAAGCTGGTTTAGCTAAGCGGATGTTAAGACTTTAATGGAAGTTATCTTCTGGTGGATTATTTTTCATTGGCTTGGCTGTCCTGGAAGTCCGCAGTAGAAAGGCAGCAGCCTGTGTCAGTCCCCTCATCAGAGGGTGTGTGCTCCGTCTCCCATCCCCTCCACATCACTTCTCTAGAGCACATGGTTATCACCCACAATATCAGTCTCCCTGCTCTGTCCTCTTGGTGCTTTATTTACTCCGCATGAGTGAAGGAGAGTCCATAATGTGATCCATCCATTCTACAAAGTCTAGTCATAAAAGCAACACACATCATAAAACCAGGGATCTCTTGTTACGCAGCTTTTAGAAGAGAGAAAAGGGAAAGCACCCTCTTTCTGGGTCAAATCAAACTCTCCAGCTCAGAAGGCAAGCTGAGAGGCCAAATCGGTGTCAGTTTCCTTGGCTGAGTCTGGCCCGCAGCAGCCAACTAGGGGTAGGAAAGACAGAGTTCCCACCTTTGCAAACTGCAGTCGCCTCATGCAGCCGGTCTTCCACAATTATGAATGGTCTTTATTCATTTGCTGCTCAGCTAGGGACCTGGCAGGCAAGGAAGCAGGACCAGAACTGATGCGTGGGCATTGTATAGCTATTAAGTGTCGAAGGAAGAGGCCCAAGCCAGGGGGCCATGCCTGACCCAGGACTCGCCATTCTACAGCAGTCCAGCGCACACTCTAGAGGTCACGTTAAAGAAGTAGGATGCTGCCCATCATTGCTTTCAAGATTCCTATATTCAGAAAAGAACTTATTTAATAGACATTCATTTGCTCCTTTCAGGAACTATTTATTGAATCAAAGACATATCTCTACATATTTTTATACATTTACGTAAGTATTTAAAGGTATATATGTTTATAATCAGCCCTCTGTTATGGGTTATATATGAGGTGTCTCCCAGAAGCTCAAGTGTCAAAGTTTACAGGTGAAATGATTGGGCTATGAGAGCCTTCCCCTAATCAGTGCATTAATCCATCAGACTGGACTGACTGGGTGGTGACTGTAGGCAGGGAGGGTGTGTTTGGAGGAGGTAGGTCACTGGGCGTTGTGCTTTGGGGGTATATATTTGCCCCTGGTGGGCAGAGCCCTGCTCTGCTTCCTGGTCGTCATGTTCTGAGCTGCTTTTCTCCTCCTTCCCCTCCACCATGAGGTGCTACAGCAGAGGCCCAGAGCAACGGAATCAGCCGTGTCTGGACTTAGACCTCGGAAATGTTGAGCCCCCAAATAAACTTTTCCTCCTCTAAGTTGTTCTTGTCAGGTTTTTTGGTCACAGTGATGACAAAGCTAACTAAAATACCCTCCCTATTCATGAGTTCCTCATCAAAGGATTCAACCAACCATAGATCAATTTTTTTTAAAAAAAATTGCATCTATCTTAAACATGTACAGACTATTTTCTCTTGTCATTATTCCCTAAACAAAACAGTCAGATACTATTTGCATAGCATTTACATTGTATTAGTTATTACAACTAACGTAGAGATGACTGAAAGTTCCTGGGAGAATATGCATAGGTTTTATGAAAATACTACACCACTTTATGTAAGGAACTTGAGCAACTGCGGGTTTTGATACCTACAGGTGTTCTGAAACCAACGCCCTATGGATACCAAGGGATGACTATTTATATAATGTATGTGTGAAGATATTGATAGGGTTGTACATATAGCTATTGATAATATAGGCATATAGTAAACCATACATCTACTAAATGAAAACATGGATCAGTTCATTTAAAATAAACCAGAATAAACTATTCTAACTCAGAAAAACAAGAAAGAAAGAAAATTTGATTACATTTAAGTATTTTTGCTTTTTTTTTTTTTTTTTTTGTATTGGTTCGTTGTTGTTTGTTTTGGTATAGGAAAAAAAAAAAACATACCAGAGCAACATAAAAAGGAATGCGAAAA